TTTTTTTTTTTTTTTTTTTTTAGCGGTAATACCACTTCCTACTTTTGATTTTCAAACGGCAACCTATTATTGAAAATAATTTCCATAAACAGACGGAGTGTTAATTGAAAATACATTTTAGCGTTGAATTTTTATCGATTCCCGTCGGTCCGTTGACGAGATAATCCACTTTTAAGTTTCGGTCGGAGGAGAGTGGTTGGAGTGTCATTTGTGTGTGGCGGTACGGCTCGTTAACTACGCACCGCCACTCGCCCAAAACGCAAACTTAAAAGTGGATTAACTCGTCAACGGACAGACGTAAAATGGATAAAAATTCAACGCTGAAATTTATTACAATTAACACTCCGTCTGTTTATGGAATTTTCAATAAAAGGTTGCCGTTTGAAAATCAAAAGTAGGAAGTGGTTTTACCGCTAAAAGAAAAAAAAATAAAGGCGACGAAAAACAACGTAAACATAAAATTGTAGAGCAAATTGTTTCTTAAATATTCCAGAACACGGATTTCGGAAAAAGTCAATGTTTTCCGAGACAACGAGTGTGTTACGGTAGATCGATCGCCCCGTATATACAGAGTTGGAACGGGGGGCCCTTGGGAATCCTGTGGGGGTCCTGTGCTCACTTGCACCGAGCGCACACGCGTAAATCCGGGACGCGGGATGCGCGGGCAACGTTCCTTTGAGTCCGGCGATACGGCCGAATATCGCGAAACCAAACAGCGAATAGCCCCGTACGCGAATTTCGCCAACACGCGGTCAGCGCGCCGGGGGCCGGGCCGTGTCTTCGGCCGCGTCAAAAACGCACGGACGAACAACGTGAAACGTCCGCCGTCGACGGACCGCCCCTGGCCCGCGAATACTGTAAACGACAATGCCGGGTGGTCTGTACGCCGACATTTGCGACCCGCGATCAGTGTAGCCGCCACATAGTTGTTGAATTGTTCGTTATAATCGTATGTTAATCGGCCGGCCGGGCCGTTGATAAGCGGGACGCCGACTTCGCGCCGACCGTAAACGGGCCGTTCGGTTTCTCGCGTCGCGGCCGGGACTTTCCCTAGACACCGCGCGCGCAGTTTCGGTTTCATCCGCGCGGCACGTTCGTCACGCGCCATCGCGTTCTCATATTACAGGGGGATGGAGGGGGGTCGGCTGGCTCTGTACAGTCGCGGGCGCCGGACTATATTGGATTCCGAGCGGAGCGATGAACGCGTTGGTTTTTTACGGTGATGTTTATTTCTTTCTTTCTTTCGTTTTTTTTTTTTTTTTTTCCCAATTCGTTCTAGACCGTGGACAATGTTTTTCCGCCGGTAGACTCGCTCCGATTTTCACGCGTGGCAACTTTTCTGAAAGCTCAAGAATTCATTTTTTTTTGATTGCACATTATATTTTACATGTCGCGCCGAATTTTTTCATCCACGAACGCGGACGTCGATCGCGTTTCCCGAGACGGAGTATCGTTCATTGGCAGAAATCGTTTTTGCGGATTTTGTGCCCCGCAAGCGATATTAAAAAAAAAAAAAAAAAAAAGAAAAAAAAAAGTAAAAAATAAGGTTTTTTTTTTTTTTTTTTACTGGGAAACGCGGACTATAGTTTTACTCTCGCGGTATAAGCCCCTCCCCCCCCCGTATTGTGTGTTTCTGTGGTCGTTTATTTTCGTCTGCATAGTCGAATTGCATTTCACGTTTCGCTCGACGAACACGTTTTCGAACGTGTGCGTTTTGTCTTTACGAAAGAATAAACCGCGCCGTAATTCGAAACGAAAAACCGTTCGAATGAAATAAAAACGTACTCTTGGCGGGAAGCGAATCAAGTCAGAAAAACACTGCGCACAGCGCAAGTCAATCTGTACCCGTTAATAGTGTATGCGAGAGAGGTGTCGAAATCGAATCCATGGCGTGTACATTGTAGCGAACCGTGTATTCATGAATCTGGACTTTCGATTGGGCGGTATGGGATCCTATTAGTACGAATCGGTAACGTTCGAAATCCAAGTAAAAACGTAATAAATATTATCATATGTTAGATTCTAATAAGCGAATCTGACGTTAAGCATTTTTTTTTTTTGTGGCTTTCTGCGAACAAATCGTCTACCAGACGATGTTGCTCCGGTCATCAGTTTTATGAGGCGACGGTTTCTGGTAGCGAATTTCGCCTATTCGGTGCGTTGGGAAGTTCATTTATGGACGTTCTTTATAGCTTTCTTAACGAACGGGGGGGTGGGGGGCAGGGGAGAATAGAAAATGTACGCGATAGTTGATTCTGAAATTTTCGATTTTGTCTTGTTTGGTTGCGATCCGGTTAGTGAAACAATCGTAACGCAATAATAACTTTGTCATAATCGTTTATAGTTTACATTTACATGAAACTCGTTAAAATCGTTACATTTGAACATAACGTATCAAAATTCTGATTAAAACAGTCATGTTTAATCGGAACTTCGCTCAGAATCGCTTTTCGTTAGTAATGAATTATCGTTGGGTGGATGCATAAATAAAATTACTCCATAATATATCGTTCCCGTCGATCGTACCTACAACAGTGGCACACCCGTTAGTGGTATATCAGTTCTGTTAGCCGGAGTAAAGCAAACATCATACTTCATGTAGTCCGATTTTTATTTTTAAAAACGATTCGATATTCGTATACGTATTTTCTGTTTTGTAAGAAATATATTTTCATTTTAACTTCTGAGCTGAGCGAAAAATGTATTGGTTTTACAATGATGTTCATTTTTTTTTTTTTTATGTGAACACTTTTTCCACCAGAAAGCTTACTCCGATTATCAAGTATAGTTTCTGAAAGGAAATATTGTTCTCTGGGTGGTACTTTAAAGAGTTTATTTTTTGAAATTCTCATTAATATTCGAGATAACGAGGAAAACCTGGTTCTTTAAGTTAAAAAATAAAGAGTAAGATCAAAAACCGGTCGCTAATGACAACCGATTTTATTTATTTTTTTGTTATTATTTTTTTCTTTTTTAAACATTCATTGTTGTCATAGAAACGCACATTGTTGTAATCATTTTACCGCAATAATTTATTACATTATATTGTTATTAGATATATCCT